GAGGCAGGAGACTCGCTTGAGCCCAGGAGTTGGAGGTTGCTGTGAGCTGTAATGCCACGGCACTCTACCCGGGGGACAGCCTGAGGCTCTGTCTCAAAAAACAAAAAAGAAAGCCACTGAGAATATTATTCACATTAACAAAAATTTTCACCCTTACAAAAATTAAGGTTGTTGCCAATGACAGGTGTCGTCTCTCTATAGGGACCTCTCACTGGAGTGTTTTACATGTTACTCAAGAGATCTTCCACTGTGTCTTCTGGTTCAATAATAAAATGCTGAAAAATCCACCAAAGAGGCATTTTGTGGAGGCAGGGTCTTTTGCTGTATTGTGTAGGTTAGAGTGCAATGATATAATCATAGCTTGCTGTAATCCTGGCTTCTTGGAATCAAATGATCCTCGCACCTCAACCTCCTGAGTAGCTGGGACTATAGATGCATGCCACCACACTCAGCTCATTTTTAAATTGTTTTGTGGAAATGGAGTCTGAATACATTGCCTAGGCTTGTCTCAAACTCATGGTCTCAAGTGATCTTTTGGCCTTGGCCTCTGAAAGTGCTGGGATTATAAGTGTGAGCCACTGCACTCAGTGTGGATTTTCTATAGGTACATGAGAAACACTCCCAATGAGAGATTCCTTATAGAAACATATGGAAAATCATATATTGATTATATAAGTGAAAATGCTACATGATAGGCCTTTATAAAACATCTTATATCCAAAAGACAAATACATTGATTTTACCATCTCATTTGTAAACATTACTGACAATAAATATTTATTTTCTATTACATAGTTGTTCATTTCTGAGGATAAAAAACAAAAGGAAAAGGCTCCCCTGAGTCCTCCCTCTCTTACTAATGAAAAGATGGACCTTTGTCTCAAAGATGGCTAGGAGCTAGGAAAGGAACCATTCTTAAAATAGACCACCAACAGGGCGGCACCTGTGGCTCAAAGGAGTAGGGCACCGGCCCCATATGCCAGAGGTGGTGGGTTCAAACCCAGCCCGGGCAAAAACCGCAAAAAAAAAAAAAAAAAGACCACAAACAAGAGATAGGTCATCTAGCTTTGTTCACATTTCCCTTGTTATTCCTGAGCCTTTAGTAGAAATTTGAATTAAATGTTCCAACCTGTCTCAGCTGTGCTATAAGAGGTAAAGCACAAGTTTACACCATGATTAGTTGTGTTAATAAGCACCAGCCTCTCTAAGAGCAAACTGCCAGGGGATAAGGATAAAAGCTTCACACAAGAGTTCTTGAAGAACAGGACTTCGACCACACACCCAAGAATAACTTGAGATTAAAAATGCAGATCTGGGCTCGGCGCCTATAGCTCAACCGGCTAAGGCGCCAGCCACGTACACCTAAGGTGGCGGGTTCGAATCCCCAGCCCGGAC